AAAAAAAAAAAAAAAAAAAAAAAAAAAAAAAAAAAAAAAAAAAAAAAAAAAAATTCATTACCTAGGAAGAGTCTGAGACAAGCCTGAGAATGTTTAGCTCTGTGTCCAGTGTACTCCGTAGTCGCGATTCAAACTTTAGGGGTATATTCGGTAAGCTAAGGGCTCACCCAAATTGACTTCCTGGGTTACAGAAGGATGATAAAAATCGGTATGTACTATTAGATCCTAGTTGGAAGGAAAATGATAGCAACGAAAAATCCACATATTGCCCTCTATGTACCCTCGCCTCTACAAGACTTTATAATATGTACTGGTTGAACTAACTCTACATTTCTACATCTAAGCAATCAGGCAAAAATTACCTAATGACAGTTTCATAGTCTGTTATATGGACTACAGTAGTTATAGATCAGAAAGGAAATCTAATTCAAGCACTATGTAGAAGTAAAGTTTGAGCAGTAGCAACTATTAAGGTTGACTTATATTGTCATCACAGGATATTCACACTTTTTTTTTGCCGAGCAGATCTGACTTCGATTTCATGTTATAGACATACCTTACTGTGATTGATTGGTCAGATAATAAAATTACCTTGCCTTCTACCTACCTAGGCTCCATTTTTATAGAGTATGCATTATTGGCATGTCAATAATGCACCCAGGTTGTACTGTACTATTATTGTATGATAGATACCTTAAGATACCGTGGGGTCGGGGTAACCGTCGTGAGTTACTAGCGTCTTTCCATTGATCTCGTACCTACGTATCAGAGACCACAGAATTCTCTCACTTTCCGTACCGAATAAGATCCAGCGTGTTGACTGAGGATCTAGACTTATCGGACGCCAAGATCCCCTGTTTTTATCTTACTTACCTATATTACGACATGCCTAATAAAACTGAATGCTTCCCATGCCTCGGCTTGCGCTCCATAGAAGCAGATAACTGTTCATACTCTTGTTGCTGATCCTCGTCATGGCCACCCATGCAGCGAAACGGCAGCGGGTATCAATTGTCCGTCCATTGGAAGATCAGGTTGGTCTTCAAATCGTCTGCTTTTGAAGGTATATGCCCGCCTGACAAGTTCAAGGGTAATGAACCCAGTCTTTTGATTTCATCGAGTCCCGATTGCGAGGCCCCTCTCCATCGAAATCCTCCGTCAGACACAGATGTCCATTCGCAACAAACCTCGCAGCAAACATCTGCCAGCACTGCCGCACTTCCCTCCGAACCGGTCCGTCAGAGGACCGAATGTTCGAAACCGCCCTCAAGCAAGATATCGAAGACTGGATCGCTTCACAACTTCTTTCCGGCCGCGAGTGAAACGCAAAGATGGGATACACACAAGGCTGAATCGTTCCGTTGGACTCAGCCAAGAACAGACGAGATAGACATAAGCGATGACACGATCGAGGACGGTTACGACTCTTACGATGAGCTTTTCTCAGACTACATTGCAGATCGAAAGGTAACGCCCGAAAAGCGGATGGAGGAGGCACCTTTGGCAGCGGGAGAGCGTGTCGATCAGGCTCAAGCAATAACTCACACTTTTCGTTCGCGGAGCTTCGCAAGCAATCGCAAGCGCTTCGTCGTTTCATCGGCGTCGGAGAGCAAGCATCATGGTTCATACTCATTCGGGAACAATTACGACAAAGACGCCGAGAAATTGCCATGGGCACAGAAATATTCCCCTGTAAATCTGAATGAGCTCGCGGTTCACAAGAAAAAGATTGCCGATGTACAGAGTTGGTTATCAGATGCCCTTCGCGCGTTCGAGAAGGTATGCATACAGAATCACAAATGAGTGACAAATTCCTCGACTCAAAAATTAACTTCGCGAACAAATTAGAAATTACTCGTTCTCAGAGGTCCCGCAGGAAGCGGCAAAACAACCACATTATCGCTATTATCGGACAAGCTAGGTTTCGACGTTCTCGAATGGAGGAATCCGTCGGGATCTGAGTTTGCGGCGAAAGGATTCACATCCATAGCAGCCCAATTCGAAGAATTCTTGACAAGGGGTAATAGATTACGTGGGCTCGAGTTTCAGGGCACGACCGGTTTATCAGCAAGCAAGAGGAACAGCAGCGATCATATGAGGCCGCGGGTTATTCTCATTGAGGAGTTCCCAACAGTCATTGATGGAGATTCCCCTAGTCTAACCGCTTTCCGGTTTTCTCTGCAGCGGTATCTCTCAGTGTCATCCTCGCCGAGAAGCAATACCCGGAATGATATCGAGAGACACGGGAGCTCACCTGTTGTTATTATCGTTTCCGAGACCATGTTGAATACCGGGGCATCCTATTCGGACAACTTAACAGCTCACAGGTTGCTGGGGCCAGACATTTTAAGCCATCCAGGCACAACGATTGTTGATTTTAATGCCATTGCTCCGACGTTCATGTTTAAGGCCCTGGACCTGGTTCTGGTGAAGCATATCCGCCGATATAGGTCAGCTAAAAGACCTGGGCCCGCAATTTTGAAGAGTCTATCAGAGATTGGAGACATTCGGAGCGCGATCTCTTCACTGGAGTTTCTCTGTCTTCGGTGTGAACGGTTTGAGAAGTATGCTTTCCCCAATGCTACGAGAACAGGCCGAGGTAACATATCCTTGGCGCCGGTTGAAAAAGGAGCACTGCAAACAGTAACATACAGGGAGAGCAGCCTTGGTTTATTCCATGCAGTTGGGAAAATTGTCTACAATAAGCGTGAGGGTCTAAGTTCTACAACTGACAATCCTCGGCCACCCAGACCACCAGATCATTTATGTCATTGCGATCGGCCTGCAGTCTCACTAGTTCCTGTGAACGAGCTTCTAGAGCAATCGGGAACAGATACGCAAACATTCATCAGCGCTCTCTATGAGAATTACATACCATCCTGTGATGGCCCTGCTTTTGTCGACTGCATAAATGGATGCATAGAGGCATTGTCAGATAGTGATGTTTTAAGTGCTGACAATATGACAACTCCAGGCAGTTCTTCACGTGGAAGGTACAAGGCCGCCGTTGGCCTTGGCATGTTGCGACAGGATGAGCTCAGTTATCAAGTTGCTGCACGTGGTTTACTCTTTTCCCTCCCGTCTCCGGTGAAAAGGCGAATAACGCCAACGAACCAGAAAGGGAACGCACAAGATGGGCATAGAATTTTTTTCCCCACTGAGTTGCGGCGATCAAAAGAGAAGGATCAAGTTGAAGAACTTACAAATTCCTGCAAAACAACATTATTACACTCACTCAACGGACTTCGCAGACAGAGCACCAAGTCCTTGGCAGACCATTACTTTCAGCCTGGTAGGCAAACGATAGTCGCCACTATGGCATCCCGCAATGACTTGTTGTTATACCAATTGCCATACATGACTAGAATCGGGTTCAACGAGACACTTTCACGTGAACTTGATGAAATTACATCCATTCCCAAGCAAAGAACACAATGTGACCGCCAAGGCGCCGATGATACTCTCAATCATGAGCCCAAGCCCACTTATCGGACCTCCTCTGTCAGACAGCCTTCAATACCTACCAATGGCCGCATTTACCACCAACACAACCTTCCGGCTGCGGTCTCAGATAAGGAGGATAAATTTGTCTTGAGCGACGACGACATCGAGGATGTTTGATTTTGTCCGCACTTACCGTCATAGGCCTTTTTCCTGGCTTTCACACACTTTCGCTGATATTACTTCTCACATTGCACTGGTTTGCCTTTAAAGCACGTTAATCTGGCCTTTCACGGCTGTGTAGCCCGACCGCTGGCACGGAGAGAGGCTGGAAGACTGAATGGTCTGTTCATTCAAAGGCATTCCTCGAGCTTGCGAGTCCGGTTGGTTTCAGAAATTCATACGGTTGCTCTAAAAAGGCTCATCTTATAATATACAAAGCAATCCGTGTGATAACTAGTTAGTTAAGGGTCGATGCCTGACTCATCTTTCCATAAGTAGACAGAACAGGAATAGTCTTCCTAGGTTGCCTGAAATCGATTCGCCCGTTATCTAACCTTATGCCATCAATTTCTGGTTAGCTCTTGACTAAGCAACAATGAAATTGTCAACAACATTTAGCGACAGAAGTTGATTCAAGCTCCCATAATATTTGATTAGAATCTGCTTACATCCTTGCTCCATCTCTTACTTCCGAAGAGAGCACGACCTTCCTAGATCAAAAACACGCCAGCCCTAGGGACAATAGAGCAAATGATCAATCACAACAGCGATGACGCTGATACAAATAAATCTGATGCGAAAGAAAAGCACGGAGATGTACTGAAATCGGATGGTCTAGGGAGCATAGCTACCGCAGCGGCTTATGCAACCTCTCCTAAGTGGATTAGCATGGTATTGATGGTGTCATTGATATTTGGCGGCTGTTGTGCAAATGTAGGTACTCCGAGTGTGATGGAACTTGCTATGATTGACTCTTTCATCCTAGGTGTTCGCATTAGAAGCCATTGTCAAGTGAGTTCAAAACCATGGATAGCTCGATGGTAACATACTGATGTTCAAAACTACCTAGAGATCAACCAAGTTCAGGTAATTGACTGACCATTATTGCCCCGACTAAGATATTCTTGTCTCTGACTCTCTCTGTCCGCCCGCTGGAAGGTCCCCTGATCACCTTTGCGCAGTTTATTGTGACTGCCGGATTTACGTTGCCAAATTTTGTCTCGCTATCATGTGGGGCTCGGTCACTATTCCTCAGTCCGCGTGTCATCCCATTAAGGTCATGGTTGGTATACACGGCCTACTTTGTGACAGTCAATCTTTTGAACAATTGGGCTTTCGCATATAGCATATCGGTCCCTCTGCACATAATATTGAGATCAGGCGGCCCTGTTGCTTCCCTTATCGTCGGATACTTGTTCAATGGAAAGAAGTATTCTTATGGTCAGATTTTGGCAGTAGCGGTTCTCACTCTTGGTGTTGTTACAGCAGCATTGGCAGATGCTCAAGCTAAAGGCGAACCATTAGACATTGGACATGGCGGAGCAGACCTTGGTATAACGGCTACCGCTACTGGCTTCGCAATCCTTGCTTCTGCAATGGTTCTTTCAGCCTTTCAGGGTATATATGCAGACCGACTCTACGAGACTTATGGCCGAAGCCACTGGAAGGAAGCGCTCTTCTATTCTCATGTACTCTCGCTACCACTTTTCCTCCCAACCTATCCGCGGCTTCTGGATCAATGGCGAGTCATGCTCTCCTCCCCTCCCTTGCGATGTCGGTTTCCGGAGACATCCATCAGTGTCGGAAAAGACGCCGAGCTTCCTTCAGGGCCTTCCACTACTTCAATTGCCGTATGCGGGCCTCGTTTGGATTTAGGAATACTGAGATCCCACTTATTTCCGTCCTTCATCGCGCACATTCCCATGCAGGTGGCTTACCTTTTTGTGAATGCGCTGACCCAATATCTATGCATTCGTGGGGTTCATCTCCTCTCCGCCCAGACGTCTTCATTGACAGTGACGGTGATTTTGAACGTTCGCAAACTTGTTTCGCTCCTATTATCCATCTACCTATTTGGAAATCAGCTTTCGCCGGGTGTTGTTATTGGGGCTATCTGCGTCTTCGCAGGAGGTGGTCTCTATGGTTTGGAGGGTGCCCGGCTAAGAAAACCGAGTAATAAGAAGGATTAAGAGTGATAGCTTAGAGCGGAGAGCGCCGGTCAAGTAACATGCTAGATCGGAATGCCCGCGAGTCGGAGACAGACTTTGGGTTTGACTGATAGATATATGTTGATAATTACGAACAAGTCTAGCTTGTGTATAATTACTGACTCAAGTTGAATGATATTGGAAAGAAAGAGCCTGAAAGAAGACAACTTTGATGCCGTAGTACAAAAGTATAGTCAATAGTCAAGCATGCACCGGACAAGGGCACTCACTCAATTCAAGGACAGAAAACAAACACTATATGTACAATTGCATGATGCCAGCATCAATGACATCCATCACTGATCTGCCAAAGAACATCTGAAACTGGCTTTGTGGGTAAGGCTCTCTAACAAAGCTTTGCATCATGGAGGTCAAAGCACTTCACCTACAATTCTCGCTGCTTCTTTGTATGTTTCTAACAGCCTCTCACACTTCTCTCGCTCCGCCTTGATGCCATCATCCTCATAAAGGAGCTCAGAGAACAGATCCTCTTTATAAAGCTCGCTCACAAGTCTATTTTGCACAACATCTTTACTATGGTTGACAAGAAGGTGCATAATAGCTTTCGGAACTTGATCGGCGATGGTTTCCCGGACAATATTGAAATACGACGAAATCAGTCGACGAATCAGCTCTGTCTCCATGAGCTCGCGGTCAGAGAGAGTCGGCTCAGCATGGTCCGCCTGCCATAAGTCATGTAAGCTCCCGTTTCAAATGAGTTAAAAGAATGGATATCGACATACATGCTGAGATATCTCCCCGCCGTAATCAGAAGATCCTGCATAGTCATCAGGTAACGACATTGGCGAGCGTAAATCCGGTCGTCTAATACTCTGGCTAATGCTGGGCTCGCTGAGATGGTTGGGTTGTCTCTGTTGAACCAAGGGCTGGGGCAGCGTTGTCGAGCTCTGCATCCCGTCCTTACCAAAGAAATAATTCAAGAACGAGTCACGTGTAGTGTTCGTAGCACCAAACATGGCATTTTGGTTAGTGTTGACACCGTTCAGGGTCGCGGTGATGGCACTATCTTGACCCTTGTTAACATGAGGGGACATGCTCCTGGAATTCTTCGAAGTTTGACCGCGACTACTGAGGTTCTGTGCTCTCAACTCAGCGGAATGGTCCTCTTCCTCTTCGGGCGATACTGGGACGGCGCCATTGACACTGCTCAGCTCTTTTTGGCGTCTTCTCTCCCGCTTTTTTCTATCGTCTGCTAACATCATCTTTCTCTCCTGTTCCTGTTTATTCTGTATGACGGACGACATTGCTGCTGCTGCTCCAAGAAAGTTCGGGTGATTCGTGTTGATGTACGCCCTTTGAATGGAGATTAGAGATTCAACGTAAGCAGAGCATGGTCCCAAACGCTCGCGAAGAAGATCTGACACTACTTCAATCAGTTTTGCCTGCAGTCGAGGGAAGCGTAAGAGTTCTTGGGAGCCACAGGTATGACAAATTTTGATGAGCTCCTCGTAGACGAGCTCAACACAACGCTGACTAGGAGCTTCAAGCATTTTAATCTGAGGCTTCACAAGCAAGTCAAAGGCAAGTTCTGGAACAAAAAGACTTGGCCGAGGGCCAGTCGAGTTTCTGATCGCCGTTCTTATATCGGATACAGTCAAATTATGCGTGGGATCAATGGTTTCAAGCGAGTTGCCGAACACAGAGTTGAATATATAGTATATCCTGGCACCTCCGCACAGCTCCTTGGTAGATATCTCAGAGGAGGTACCGTCGATCGAAGCAATAAAGGAAGAGGCAAAACGTGTCATCAGCTGCAGTATCAATGATCCACGATGTTCTTCCCCACTGAATTGTTTGTTGCCATAGCTGGCAAGCTCTTGTTGCGTTTGGCCCATGAGTGTGTTGAGGCGAGCTTTGATATCAGGCAGACGATCGCGTATATGAGCCATCAGCGTCGTGTTCAGGGTTTTTGCAAGAAACTGAGTTCCGCATCTATTCGCCATGTTTCGATAAGCAGGGTGATGCCTGAAGAACTCCGCTTCAGCCTGCAAGGCCTCTGATAGCGACTTCCCTGACTGTATATCTTGCTGAGATCGATTGACGACGCCGATGAAACCGAGTTTCAATGGATAAACGCGGCCAGAAAGAATATCCATTGCATTGGTTCCGTGATCCATTAAATCCAATTTCGTCAAGACACCAATTGTCCTCCGGCCCATTGGATCTACTTGTCTTGCAAGCTTTAGCGCTTCGGAGTTCACAAGGTCGACGTTTGCCGGGGAGACTGCGAGTATAATGCTATTCGGCTTGGCTATGTATTCAAGAATCAACGTTCGGGTTTGCTTCTCAATGTCGGAAGGTTGGTCTCCGATAGGCACCTTAGTTAACCCCGGTAAATCGACCATGGTAAGATTGAGCACATGGGGCGAGAAAATCTTGAGATTAATGGGCTGCCTATTGATGCCTTTGTTATTCCCGGCAATTCGAGCTGTTTCGGCTTCAATCTCTTGCTTCACCAAGGCAAAGTCTTCGAACTTGCGCCCCGGAAGGTGATGAAATTCAGCCCATTCGTGCTGACCAGCTACACTAGCAGCTGTGTGGGCAGCAAGAACATCATTATCACCGAGCCTTTCATTGTGCTCACTGGGGATGTTGATGAGCTGTAGAATCAAGGGCCGTCTCGTGACTATACCACTCCCCCTCGGTAGGAAATCCCTCCCAACAATGTTTTCCAGGACAGAAGATTTTCCGGAAGACTGGGAACCTACAACGACCTAGAGAGAAATCAAAATTGTGAGGAGATGAATCAGCAAAAGAGAACTCATGGAGTAATGTTGGCACACATTGGCATGCCTCCCATAGGAACTCACAATTTGCGGTAGATCGAGCGAGTCATTTCCAATTGTGTTGAAAACAAGATCTTGTAGCTTATTCACTGTTATAAGCAGGTCTTCACTAAGAGATGCCATGTTGCCCTGAGAATCAACCTCAGGTAGCACTTAGTGGCTCAAAGACTGGTGAACTGCTGTGGGACCTTTAAGAGATGGCCTCGTAGGGGGGATGAGTAAAGTTTAATATGGAAAGTAGTGACGAAGGGCAAATGAGTCTGAAATGACAGATAAACTAATTGAAATGAACAATAGAATTTGCTATTTTGATAGTGTGCTATAGAACACACAATAGCTATGAGCAGAGGTACATATGTAGTACTTGATAATACTAAAGCAGTGGTTTGTATAGTTGACCAGCAGAAAAAGCTAGATTACGTCACGTGATATGGCTCTGTCTTCAATTCATTGAAAATCTACCGATACTCTTGTATATATCTAAGTTTGGCCCTTCAAGTACTGGATAACTCTTAAGTTGCAAACAGAGGTATTGCATTGATCTTGTCGGCAATTTTGTTTATATTTGTTGCTAAAAAAAAAAAAATACACTCCTTCATAGGCAAGACTAATGTCTAGACATTTCTAGACATCTGTATATTTCCAAGACCAGCATTTTATGATGTAGCAACCATGCATACCTTACAGAGAACAGAGTAACAGAATAGCCTGTTCCCTTCAAAGGCAGGTGCCACGTTGACTGAAGAACACCGTTGTCACGAGATAAGTGATTTAATGACGCAGTAAGGTATTTTAATTCTTGAACTGGATTGGCAAGAAGGATACACATTCTATGACTTGTGCTTAAGTTCAGACATCAACGAGAGAAATAGTGCCTGGGACAAAAGACTAAAATACAGGCTTTTACAGAGGATCAAAAATCCCATATCTGACACAGGAGCGAAATGTGTACTCGTGAGATGTCTCCCTTGTAATGGTTTCCAAGTAGACGCGCTTATGGGAGACTTGCCGGACCAAATTATCAATATCTGACTGGACTCCGACATGCCCCAGCCAAGAGAAAGAGCAGCCACAACCTACTCCTGGAGTTGTACATAGTTGGCAGGGAAGAGCCCCTTCTGACCCTTGTACTCACCGAACCACCAATCATCATCGGGGAACTCCTGTTGTCGAGTTAGCGATGCCGTTGTTTGACTAGAATGTCTGGCTAAAAGCAAAAAGGAAAAGAAGACGAAGAAGCAAAAAGGACTGCAAAATGTTCCACTTACGATGTTGACTATTTGAGCACCCTCCGGGAAGCTGAGCTCATTGTCCTCCGCAGCCTCGTAGTCATACAGTGCCATTGCAGTTGGCTGTGCGATATCCTGCCTTCCCCCTGAGCTGTGGGCAGGAACGGTTGGAGGAGTTTCCTTGGGTTCTTCAGCTCCGGCAACTGGAGCGAGGTGCTCTAGCTGGTTGTCTTTGACGAGCTCAACATAGTTGCTGGGGAAGAGACCCCGCTCGCCGCGCGCATTAGAACCAAGCCACCAATCCTTATCAACCATCTCTATGCCAGACACATACTCTCCCTCCTTCAAGTCTATTTCATTGTCCTCTGCCTTCTCATAATCATACTGCACAATGGCCTGGAGCGCCTCGTCTTGAGGACGATCAACGACTGTAGCTTTTGACGTTTCCCTACCAATATCAATAATAGTATCCTCGAGCCCTTCATCATCAGGTACTGCCTGTCGGAGGCTTTGTGTCGGCATGACAGGAGGAGGCGAGTATTGTTCATCGTGAGCGTCTGCAACTTCTCCCCGTCCAACCGGCACGGCAACGCGAATTGGAGAAGATTCACGTACGGGGGGCGGCGTTGGAGGAGTAGGGGAACGAGGCTGTTGAGGAGGGATAGGTATAGGCTGGTGAGCTTCGACGTCCAATGGTTCTTCCGGTCTCATCCCCTGTGAAGTATGCGGTGCAGGTAATTCACCTTCGGAACCAGGTACGCCGACTGGTTCTTCATCGGGAGTGGGACTCGTGCCTGGACCACGTAATTTCTGATCCCGGCTGGTAAAGTCTAGCTGGCCAGGCAGTGACGTTTCCGGCCCAGTCGTCAATTCCTGCCCTTGCTGGGAGACACCGCGATCCACAGAGCTGCCTGTAGGCGTTGTCTGAACGGGAGCCCATGTCTTGCCATTGTACGAACTTTTCCATTCTCCCTTGCTGCCGCCCTGACCACCGCTTGCTGCTGATGGGCTAGGGGCAGGGCCTTGCCCTCGTTCTCGGGCTTTTCTTTCAGCCCACTGCTGCGCAGGAGTCTTTCCTCCTTCGTCTGCAAACGTTCTGCTTGCAATGCCAACCTGGGTGGCAGGAGGGACCGGGCCTGAAACGAAGCCACCGGGCAAAGGTGCCTTTGTGCCCGCGAAAGTTGAGCTTAGACCGATTTTGTTCGCAACCTTCGGCTTGGGTAAAGTCGTCAAACGCTCAGGCTGATCGGCTAGTTTTGGAGAATCCGAAGATTTAACCCTTTCATTACGCGATTCAACAGGGTTACTTGAGACGGACTGGTCAACAGATGATTCAGGCTGCTTCTGCACCTTAGAACGGATAGCAGCAATATCGACCTTGCCAACCGGCTCATATGCGCCTCTCACAGGCTCGGGTCGGTCTTCTTTCAGTTCTCCTGCTTCCCGCGCTTGTTTCCTGATTGCAGCGATATCCACTTTGCCTATCGGCTGGTAGCCACCCTTAACAACATCATTGTTCTCTGGAACGGGAAGCTCATGATAATGGGATATTCTGGGCAGGTTCTGAGACTTGATTGCCTCAATGTCAACCTTAGTTGGCTTGTACGCGGACTGAACTTTTTCAAGTTCTGTCCTGGTAACCGGGGGCGCATCTGGACCCCATCCATTATCATCGCCGCTCATTCTTGGAACCACCCTAGTGGAAACATTTGACACAGTCTTCGAGTCTAATGCACCAGTTCTGGTGGGGGTGAATGCTGGTTTGCTTGCAACCGGAAGCGTTTTGGGCACAGCAGTGACTGGCGAAGCTCGTTCTGGTGTGTATTTCGCACCAGAGGCATCTCCGACCTTCTGTATTATTCCCTCGGGTGTCAAATCCCCCTCGGAGCGTGCAGTGATCTGGACATGGTAGTTCTGAAGTAGCCTAATATCAGAAAATTATGTTCATCTAAGCTGTACAAGGGGGTACCGACGGATAAGAACTTTGTGACAGCAGACAGGTGGCTTGTAAAGTATCCTTTCGTTCGTTCTGGGACGCCCTCTCCACACCATCCGATGAGGACATTCTTCGGGAGACCACTGTTTGGATCAGTGACTTTGACGAAAGCGAACTGAATCTTTCCTTCCGAAAACTCGTCAATGAGATCCTCAAGCTCACCAGCTGCAGGATTAGGTATCAGCATTTGAGTTGAGCCTCGAATAATAGGTGACTAACCCCCGGTATTCTGGACCTTCAAGACACTCTCCTTGGTATCTGAATTCCTCTGGAAAGCATTGACCAAAGGCGTTGAGACGGAAAATACTGCCCATTGTCCATATGTAGCGCTGTCGGTAGGTAGCGAACAATCGATTACAGACCGATAACTCTTGGTAATTGACGGACCGTTCGACGAGAGATTCAGAGATGCCATATCGCTGAGAACTAGTCGTTGGGTAGTGTCGAGGATCTGTGGATCAAATAAGTGATGCAATGATAGTTGCTAACTACAGTGATTTTAGTCGACCAGTATTGCAAGGTGGGTAACAGATTTCATGGATGAATAAGTGTGATGCAGGTAACTAAGATTAGATAGGTCGCTCAGCAAGGACGAGGAGGCCAGGTGTGTTCCAACATTAGGTTCATGATCTTACTACCTTGGGTAAAGGTAAATCAACAAAGTACATTTAGGTACTAGTTAATGTCATTGGTACATAGTACTATCTCATACTTAGTCAATACGCCATAAACACCCGTGGACAGGAATAAGACAGTCATCAGAAACCTAACCTTTACCAACTGTAAGATAGTCCAACTAAATAGCTGCCTTACTTTAGTAACTTACTTGTATCTGTAAGCAGGGAGCTGTACCTCTCTAGGGAGGTACATGCCTACCTAGTAAGGTTAGTACTGTAGTATGTTGATTACATCATAATTTTTTAGTAAATCGAGGGGAACTAAGGTAAGAGTAATTCTTGTAATGGAAGGAGCACCTTGTACCATACCTTAGATAGGACCAGTTCTTTCAGGTATTCTAAGGTACCACTTTGCTGTATTCGCTAAAATGTAATGATGGATATGTTTATAATCATTTAGGTATCAGATGCATGGAATGTAAAGCTAATTATTATACCTAGGGTTTAGGTAAGTAAGGCCCTTGCAGGAGCAAGATATGACTGTATGATCTTAGCCTGGGTTGTAATATTTTACTTAAAGTGAGGTTGGTAATGTAACCTGACTGATGTGGACGTTAAGGTATAATACTTTCCCCTAGCTGCCCTATGGTAGGTACAGTATGTTGTCCAAATCCCGCTCGTATATTTTATCAGGTAGATAGATACCTAATAGATATATACTGTTCATTGCGTGAGCAATGATATTATATAGGTGGTATGTGTTAGTATATATAGACAGAGGTGTGACAACAGCAAGGTGTTTAGATACTACTTGTACTTCAAAGTGTATGGAGTATATGGCCCTGGAATAAAATATATATGTTAATACTACACCCCATTATTTCATCTTGGGGCTCATGGTTCTTTTTCACTAAGGTAACCACACTCAATTCTGGTTCCACAAAGCCACACAGACTCAAACACTAATCTTCCCCAGAGAAGTAAAGGTTCAATACCTTGGCTGCTTCATTAAATAATCAGATAGCTTCAAAATAGGGAAGAGTATACAACCCTTTACTTTTCACCATGACAGAAATAACGAAGGCAATCCTCTGCTGCCTCGGATTATTGGTCATTAGGACAATCGGCCAGGTATAAGTACAACTACTGAAAATCAAGCTGCCCTCCCGGCCTCCATGGAGCCTGATACAGCCTGTAACTAAGATGTATGTATTGCTGGTATTATTGGAGACTGCCACATCATTTGGGTTGGCCCTTTTGACATTGTTCATAACTACTTACAAGTACTACCACGTTTGACTGGTACTATCTGCTAATGACTGTTTATGGCATGTATATGTCAGAAAACTGATAAGCCATGGCAATACCTAAAAGTGTATCCGAGTAAGGACCAGAGTAAACAACTTTAGCCTCCCGATAGAGGGGTAGACCCCGGTTTAATTTTCCTTATCTTCAGCGGAAGGAGTCTTAATATGCCACTAGTACCCCAGAAGTATGCGGTGAGACTTCCATGTGATCCTACGGCTGGCTCCATACTAATTTGTAGTACACAAGATTTTCTGAGAACAAATTGAAAGGGCTCCAGACCGTAAGGTACAATTGCTGACAGTTTATCCCTGTTTTCATTCAAACCTTTCCCTGACACCCACACGGTCGAAATGGATAACGCGCATCACCTACAAGCTAGCACTGAAAGCTCAACTGTCAACTTAAAGCATGACCACGATGAAGAAAACACACAACAGGCAGATGTTGACAGCTCTTTATCTGCAACTGTGACAGATAGTCTTGACCATGTACTCCCGAGGGATAGAGAGATGAAAACACCGACATACGACTATGCTTACGAGAAATCGATGAGTCACACAGAAGCAAAACTCTTCTACCAGCATCATCAATTGGTGTCACGAGGCGCCGACATTGAGTGTGACCAGGGTTCCGGCCTCACGGGCAGGCCTTCTGCCTCTGACATACTACCAACTAAAGTTCAGACGGAGGGAAAGCCTCAAACAGGCATCCTGGGCTCGAGTAATTCAACGCAGCTTGGCACGCCTACTTCGGGATACGCTGAAAATACCAGCACCAGTGCCGGTCAGCTTCCACTCCTAGATGATGCAATGCATCATGAGAATTCAAATGAACAAGGATCGTGTTATATGCAATTCGCCAGTGAGGTTCCAGGTGCTATCAAAAGTGCTATGAATATGACGGGCAGCGGCACGGTTGCCTCAGAATTAAACATCATCTACCGCAAGATTCGCGGGCTACTTGAGCGACGCGCCGAATATATCCGACTGTCATCACAGGGCCCTGAGGATAACCCCAAAGATCGTCCCGATTGGAGGATTTACCCTCCCCCACCAGAACCAGCCTGGGATGCCGATAGAGAGAATGGGAATCAAGAATCCTCTTCTGGCGCCGGAACTAAGAAAAGAAAGATGGGCCAGGATATTGGTGAGGACTTCGACATGGCTGAATTCATTCCGCTCCCGGGAGAGTCATGTTGGACATTCAGACTTGATGAAAATAGTGTCTACCAAGTGTACGAAAATATCGAGGCTGCAAATGCGCACAAGCCTACCATCAGAATACCTTCACTGCGTGATTTTTATATGGACCTCGATGCAGTCATAGATGTATCCACAGACGGACCAGCCAAGAGCTTTGCGTTTAAACGTCTTTCTTATCTGGAGGGCAAATTTCAGCTCTACACGCTGCTCAATGAATATCAGGAGATTGCTGACAGCAAAAAGGTACCACACAGAGACTTTTACAACGTCCGGAAGGTCGACACTCATGTCCATCACTCGGCTTGCATGAATCAGAAACATCTGCTCAGGTTCATTAAAAGCAAAATGAAGAAGTCTCCTGATGAAGTTGTATTATTCCGGGATGGTAAACATCTAACGTTGAGAGAGGTTTTTGAAAGTATAAACCTAACAGCTTATGACCTGAGCATTGATACGCTGGATATGCATGTATGTATCATTCCCACAAGTCTTTCTTCTTACAAGTCTTCCTTCTCATCAATTTGAAGGCGCATACGGATTCCTTCCATCGCTTTGACAAATTCAATCTCAAATATAATCCCGTCGGAGAGTCAAGGCTGCGCGAGATCTTCTTGAAGACGGACAATTATATTAAAGGTCGCTATCTAGCCGAGATCACAAAAGAGGTCATCTCGGATTTAGAGTCCAGCAAATATCAAATGGTGGAGTGGCGCATCTCAATATACGGAAGGTCGATTCAAGAATGGGACAAGCTCGCTGCTTGGGTGGTTGACAACAAATTATTCTCCCCAAATGTGCGCTGGCTAATACAAGTTCCTCGGCTCTACGACGTCTACAAAGCAAGCGGCATGATGGAGAACTTCGAGCAAGTCATCACAAATGTTTTCCAGCCATTATTTGAGGTGACCAAAAATCCAAGCAGCCATCCCAAACTTCATATCTTCCTCCAGCGTGTGGTCGGATTCGACAGCGTGGATGACGAAAGCAAAGCTGAGCGCCGGTTGTATAGAAAATACCCCATTCCTAGAGAATGGAATACGAAACAAAATCCTCCCTACAGCTATTGGATTTACTTCATGTTCGCTAATATCGCGTCATTGAATTTCTGGAGAAAGCAACGCGGCTTTAACACCTTTGTTTTAAGACCTCATTGCGGTGAGGCTGGGGATCCAGATCATCTTGCAGTTGGTTTTCTCTGCTGCCACAGCATCAGTCACGGAATACTGCTTAGAAAGGTCCCTCTACTGCAATATTTGTTTTACCTCGATCAGATTGGGATCGCAATGTCCCCGCTCAGTAACAACGCGCTATTCCTGACATATGACAAAAATCCGTTTGCGAATTTTTTCAGGCGCGGCCTGAATGTATCCTTGTCAACGGACGATCCTCTGCAATTTGCGTTTACCAAGGAGCCGTTGATTGAAGAATATTCGGTTGCTGCACAGATATACAAATTCAACGCTGTGGACATGTGTGAGCTCGCAAAACATTCAGTCGAGCAAAGTGGCTTTGAATTATCATTGAAGAAGAGATGGCTTGGTGCGAACTGTTCTCTCCGCGGGGTCGCAGGAAATAATGTCGCAAAAAGCAATGTGCCAGACATTCGGGAGCAATTCAGGCATGAAACTTTACTTGGGGAGCTTGCCTTGTAAGTTATTCTCGTGCTTGCAGTCCCATGATACAGACAGACATCTTAGGGCGAAAATAGAACTTGCTGACGTACTAGGATTGAACGATATTCTGATCGTCATGTTGACTGTTCAACTAAGCGACCAATCGTCCCCGCCACAGGCAGTCAGCTGGAAGCACCGTCACGGATTCCTCTGGATCCAGAGCAAGGACACCCAGGCCATTGTAAGTTCAACGCCGCGGACCCGGAAACTCGCTTTTAGAGTCCCTTGTCCGATGATGTCGGAGACTTTATCGTCTCATTATCATTGTTATTGTCGCCATTTTGACCGCGTCCCTATGGTCGTCCCCTTTGTCCTTCGGGCGCTTGTTCAGTGTAGGGTCTTAGTCTCTGTTCGGTCTGATTGCTAATGATGAACATGCAGGACAGTCTCCCACTAGCTCGGTCTTACCCCAGCTTCGATCCGACGCCAGTGACGCAGAGGCTCTTCGAAAACCCTGCTCCTCAGATACCACCAAGGCCGGCGACTCTGGCAACTCACTCGGAGGTACCCATCCACAGGGCAAGCGGCAGCTTCCCCGGGAAGTCCACCAGAGCACCGAATTTTCCCTGGTATTGTCCATGAGAGAATCCGGATAGATAATACCAACATCAATAA